AGTTGTACTAAACTAATTAGAAGAAGACCAAGGCTAGTTGTCACACTTTTTACTCCAGTGAAAAGCTGAGACTTTTTGGAAAGGTTACTGTATTGACACTTACTTTGAAACACATGTTATAGACTCTAGAACATTAAAGTTTCATGAACTATTATCCTTCCTGTTAGGCCATCACATAGGAAAATGAATGAATATTAACAAAAGTACAGCACAAAAAAAAACTTTTTTTTTTTTAAATTCAAATATTTTGTATTCCAGTATATTGTATTCCAAGGTTTACTCAAAAGCTACTACTATAAATATATATTAATACTGGATTTTATGGTTGGTAAAGATTCACAAAAAGTCTATAAATCCAAGCTCAAACAATAGTTATATGAATTGTTGATTATTTAATTGTTTTCGTTCTTAAATTTAGGGTTTTAACCAGGAGTCTATTAAAGGGATAGTTCACCCAAGAATGAAAAATCTGTCATTAATTACTCACCATCATGTCGTTCCAAACCCGTAAGACCTTCGTTCATCTTCGGAACACAAATTAAGATCTCTGACCCTCCCTAGACAGCAATGCAACTGCAATGTTCCCAGGTCCAGAAACGTAGTAAGGACATCGGTAAAACAGTCCATGTGACATAAGTTTTTCAACTTCAATTTTGCGAAGCTACGAGAATACTTTATGTGCGCAAAGAAAACAAAAATATAATAACATTCAACAATTCTTCTCCCTGAGTTAACTCTTCTGCCGTGCGCTTTCCCCAGACCGTAATGAAAGTATTTTAGCATTTGCAAATGTACACAAAGCTGATTACGTTGATTATGTTTCTGGGACTGGGAACATTTCAGTTGCGTTGGTGTCTATGCAGGGCCAGAGAGCTCTCAGATTTCATAAAAAATATCTGAATTTGTGTTCCGAAGATGAACGGAGGTCTTACGGGTTTGAAACGACATGAGGGTGAGTAATTAAAGACAGCATTTTCATTTTTGGGTGAACTGACCCTTTAAGGTACTCTGTTCAAACATTTGGGGTTAGTAAGATCAAATTGATCAAAATTGACAGGAAAGAAATTTATATTGTTACGAAAAGTTTTCTATTTCAAATAAATTCTATTATTTTGTATTTTTATTTTTATCCAGAATATAATTCATATGAACAATATAAATACAGTATATATATATATATATATATATATATATATATACAGTATATATATATATAT